GATTAATTGTTTCTCAGGCTTGAGGTAAAGGTAAGTAAATCAGGAAACGGGCAACCGTGCAGTGGAACGACGCAGAACTGAAGCCCCGAACCTCAACACCGTCTTGCCTGATCCCTGAACAAAGCAATCCAACTTTCGAACTTGTGCAAATCTCAAAGCTCCAACCTTCTTCTGCCAATACAGTAGAAGCCTGGATAATGACCAATGCTCTTCCGTTATGATTCTCAGTATATTATATATATATATACACATACAAATTCACAGGTCCTTCTCTATGTATTGAAGCCCTTGCACTCAAGTCTTACAAGCCTCTACCCCAAGCCGTAGCCTTAGTTTGATTGAAGAGGCCCCTGTACTAAGGTCTGTTCGCTGGCCCTCTAGCCCCGCAGATCCACCCTTAATCAGCCTTAAACATCAGAATATCCTTAGACAACCTCAATGGAGCAGGAACCTGGGTAGCCCCTATAATCCCTAACATAACACCAATAGAACCCAATATAACCACAATAGCAGGGGGAGTAGTTGGGAAACCCAAAGTCTGCGAGGTGGACATGCTGCAGCACGCAGTCTGCGAGGCCTGGCAGCCAGCGCGATGATGGCGGGCTTTTTGTTGGGTTAACTTACTGGCGGCTAGTACGGAGTAATGCAATATGTTATATGGGGATTGTAACAAACATTGTACAGGGCTTATATTCCCTTAGTCACCACTGACAACCAGTAAGTGACGGGCTCAGGTTCTAATGCTTAGGGTGCCCAAACCCCTCACTAGCAGGCGCGAGTGAAGTGTGCCCCTATGATACCCTAAGCCCTTAAACCCTTAAACCCTCAACCCAAAACCCTAAATCCTAAGCGATGTGTCAGGCGGACCGTGCGACAGTCCTGTCTTTTCTGCGCACTTCATCAGCAGAAGAGGTGCGCTGTGCTTTTGTTTCAGGGTACAGTAATAGGCGGGTTATGTAGGGGCTTATAGGGATTATGTAAGGGTTATAGGGGTCATATTGTGGTTATATAGTAAGAATGGAAAAAATGGAAACTACCATACTACAATAGGGTACATATCTCTATGACAGCCTCCTTGCACCAGGAGATGGCTTCGGTCATGGGATTTCGAGGGCGCGGTGGTCATATTGGGGGTAGTTTAGGGTTCGGGGGTCTTAGTCTTACGGGATCGAGGGGTTTCGGGCTTAAGGCCTCAAGGTTCAGAGTTCCGGAGCAGAGTTTCGAGAAACCTCACTGACCTGGGCGTTGGTGTACCCCTAAGGGTCCAAGTACCCAATAATTAGGTACTTGGGATTTGGGTTTCTAGTAATAATAGTACAGGTTTGGGGTAAGTATGTGATTATTAGGTACGTGGACCCTTAGGGTACTGTCGGAGGGTTGGGTGTATATTTCAGGTCTTGCTGTTGACCCCAACTTATGTGGAAATGCTTGTTGAAGGAAGGTCAAAGGACTTGATCTTGTAGCCCTTCGGCAAGAACATGCAAGCTCGCAGCTCCCTTAAGGGCTTTGAAGGCGGGTTCAGCTCCTTGCGCGGGACGTGTCAACAAGTGTACGACCCGTACCAACATCATCCTTGTACATTACTTAATTCAGCATGTGACTATAACGCGACATGCTCTAACCTGCTTGTAATTATGCAACGGCAGTATATGCTTCCCCCCCCAAGAATAAAATGTCTCCTGCACTGTGTCATGGGTGAGTACAATGTTAAGGTCTTGTTAATCCACTAAAGAATTCGATATCGTAATGTTTCGTACGGCCATGTACGGCCCTCACAAGGCATCAATATGTGGGTGTTTCTCGAAAGACGGTTCTTTTGGGGATCCTAGGATTATTCTGAGTACATGGGGAGAATGGCAACGCCCAACTTGAGGATTGCCGAGGGATGTTTCCCTACATCCTAAACCATATGAGCTAGACTAGAAGCTCCTTAAAGGGGGTTATATGAGAGATTATATAGTGGAGTATTATAGGGTGGAGTTTAGACTATGCCTCATATGCCTCTGCAGTGCGATTCGCGAGTGAAGGCCCAATCTGAAAACGCTGGTGGATTCCTTGAATTGTGGCAGGCATCCGTGCGACGGAGTCTCAGCGAGGAGGCTCAGGTGCCAAAGGGTCCCAAAAGGGTTTGGGGGTACGTGGGTTGCAGGACAAAAGCCTGCAAATACCCCAGGGCCATGGCATTCATGGTATTCGCATTAGTTGCACTTGGTGCCATGCTGGGCTTTGGCCCACGGATGAAGATTCAGGTTGTATAGTAGATGTGCATGTTGAGAGATGGACTTTCGCGAAGTGAGTGGGCGGCGCTAGTCTAGCTGAGGAGGCCTCCCGGGTAATAATAATACTCAATTGTGTTTTTTCTCGGCACCAGGGAAATTTGCAAGTAGCTTGGACAGAGCGTCTTGGATTTTTTTGTACTAGTTCCGGAAGACTTGGCAGAGAACTTTCTTTTGAACCCCGCGCGAAGCCTCCCGCAGAATCGTTGTTGTTTTGCACTCAAGGACGTTCCGTACTTTTTTGATTTAAAGCGGGAATAGCTTACAGAGCCCCAAGCTGTCAGGAATTGAGCGGCTCTTCCTGGAATGGATGCGTAGGTTGGGTCATCCCCCCTCCCAGTAACTGTCCTTAAAGGGGGCCTTATTAAGGGGCTATTATAATTTCTATTACCCCTTGTGGTAACTGTTACTGTCAGGGGGAATATCCCTATGTATAGGCTTCTGAAAGCAAGGCATGGGCTGCTCTCACTAAGTATGGAACCTTTGGGGGCACCATTGAAGTACCACACCTCATGCTTGGGAGAACATAGACAGGATACTGCAAAGTAAGCTTTTTAAATATAATCTGGATGTCTACCCGTGTGAAAAGTTTACCACTTACTGGGTTGTTGTTCAGGAACTGCATCTAAGCTATTATATTTGGGAAACCATATCAATGACTATGTATACTCATTATGGTGACTTGACTTAAGTTCCTTAGCCCTAAACTCTGCATACCTTATATACCCTATAATACCCATTGTGGTAACTTAGTGTAAATTCCTTAACAGCAACCCGGTTTACACTGCACCGGTTCCACCTCGGCAGAGTACCACCTAGGACCTAGAATCCTCTCTCCTGAATCTAGGTTGCTGTAAAGGAACTTAAACTTATGTTACCATAATGGGTATATATCGGGTATAAAAGGTATATAGGGTTCAGGGCTAAGGAACTGAAATCAAGTTACCCTAATGAGTAATTATATATCGTAATTAATATAGTTTCCCCCATGTAGTAACTTGAATCAAGTTCCTTAGCAGCCACCCAGTAGAATCCTCTCCCCCTGAATCACAACGCTTTGATAGTACATCTATCTTCTATCTGGGGGTAATATAGGGTTATATCGGGATAATGGAAAAGAAGCTGGAACTTACTATTATATAGGGATGCCCCCGATTGTTCACCGTGGCGAGTATTGATCAGGGAGTTTGGAGGTTTGTAGCGACTAGTCTTTCAGAATCCACGATCCCTTGGGCCCCAGACGCCGGATGCCTGTTTGTGAAAGACATAGTCCCATCAATCCCCGGAAGTCCGAGGTTCTCCATCTTGCATATCGAAGTAAACCTCAACTCACCCTTGCACGCGCTTCTCAAACCTATGATTTTTGACCCACTACCCTTGACAAAACCCAAAGGGTCCATGTAGGTATATGGTATATACTTAAGGCCCAAAGGGGTTCCCATATACCTACTTTAGGGCCCAAGTATCTACCATATAGCTGCATGGACCCTTTGGGAAACTGTGCTTGCAGG